ACAAATCAATCTCAGCTGAACTGCTGCTCAAAAGCCTAAAGGCTTAACCAGCTCTAGTTCCTGGTCCTCATGCCTTATATACCTTTCTGGGATTAAAGGCATGAGTCACCATGCCTGGCTGTTTCCAGTGTGGCTTTGAACTCACAGAGATCCAGATGAATTTCTTCCTCTGGAAAGCTTGGATTAAAGGCTTGTGCTACCACTGCCTAACCTCTATGTTTAATCTTATGGCTGTTCTGTTCTGTGACCCCCAGATAAGTTTATTGGGGTGCACAATATATCAACCACAGCAAACTGCTCAGGTCAGTTTTGCAATAGCTAGCTGAGATTATCCAACCTCGCAGATGACTCAAGCTAGGACTTGAGATAAGTCCTGCATTTTCCATTATGTAGAGAATAGACAACACATGATATAGCTACCTCCACCAGGACTTGACAATTAACTAAAATTTTTTTTCAGGATCCCCTAAAGATTATTTTGCCCCCCAGGAAGCAGGAACTAATTTTAAGAACATGACACCCACATTCCCAAGAAGTAAGGTGGGTGGTTTTTGGTTATTCAATGGGTTATGGATAATTGTCACTGCTTAGGATGATTGGTTATAATTTGTTAATTGTTAATGGTTAAGAAAAAAGTGAAACAAAGGAAATTAGTTTCAGAGTTCTTGTTTGAAAAAAATAGAGTATATAGAGAAGAGATAGATTATTGAATCTACTCTGAAAAGAAAATAAGGGAAAATATGGATTTGATAAGATAAAAAGGTAGATTATTGAAGCTACTTTTAAAAGGTGACTGTTAATTATAAATACTTTACATTGGTTTAGATTTTTTATATTGTATATAGATCATGTATATTGCTAAAAATTTGAGATTGATTTAGATAGATATAAGATAAAAAGGTAGATTATTGAATCTACTTTTAGAAGGCAACTGCTAGTTTTAAATATTTTACATTGGATTGGATTTTTATATATTGTATACAAATTTTGTATATTGATACAAATATGAGATTGATTTTGTTAGAAAATACTGTACATATATTTCTAATCATGTTCAATGTATTGTACCTATACAGTCCATTTAACAATGTAATATAAATTGCTAGTCCTTGAAATTTATTATTACCAATGAATTAGGATATAAAAAAATGCAGGTTAGTAGTTAGTCATGACAATCAAACTTGTAGTCATATTAGGTATGTTTTCAAAGTCAAGCAGAAATATATTTTAGATAGACAGGTCATCTTCAAACACTTCAGAGATCTGCAGAATATGTCATTTAAGATGTTTTAATAACAGATTTTTTTCTTCTTTTTATGACTATGAGACATATCTGCTTCTGGTAGTACAAAACTATTTGAGAGGAGATGATGGGCATGAAGAAACTCCACATGGAGTTTACTTTCATTGGGGCAAAAGTTAGCCATTGGGCAAGAACAGGCCCTTGCCTCAACTGCTGACAGTATGCTGTCCAAATGAATGAATAGGACATAAATAAAAGGACTTCTGATGATTGCCATGACAAGGTAGGAAAGCTCTTTAGAAAATCCTGCATCACAGATGAGTCTTTCATATATGCTAGGCCTCTAGACCAAACATGGATGCCCCAACTTTGCAGAGAAACCTCAGATAACTCTCCAGGTAGCTAGCTGTTTCTGTAATAACTCACATTTTTTGGAAGTTGTTTGCACTTCCTGTTTAACTAGGCAATATTATTTCCTTCTTGGGTCTCTGAGGGAGTTGAAGATAGTTATAATTTCCCTTGTCAACAATTTCAGAAAAGAAACTCACTAAAGAGGTGTAAAGTGTATAAGTTTAAAAGATATCAAAGTTTTTGGTTGGTAATACAAGTTAGGATAGAAAGTGAATTAAGTACATTTTGGACTCACCAAAATAGGATAGATAATGGAATATTTTCATTGGATCTGTCAAATGTAAATGGGCTAGACATTGTTGATATATTTATTGCCTGTATATATTTTATAATGTACTTATTGTATGTAGTTTTTCTTATATTAGTTATAACTTTTGTATTTTAGACCAAAAAGGGGAAATGTGGTGATATTTTATTTGTGCACCCAATAAAGACTATCAGAGGAAAAAGTCAGCTACTGTAGTAAACATAGAGGTCAGGCAGTGGTAGCACACACTCTTAATCCTAGCATCTAGGAGGCAGAGATTCATTTGGATCTATGTGAGTTCAAGGCTACATTGGGAAAAGAGCCAGGCAGGGTGGCATGAATCTTTAATTTCAGTGCCAGCTAGCAAGAAGTCTGGAATTCTGTACAGAAAGACATGAGTGATAGATCTAGGTGGAAAGAAGAAAGTGATGTAACTGGATGGGAAGAGGAAGTAAGATGGAAGGGCAGAGAAAGGTATGTCGGTATGTCGGTGTGAGTATACAGGAAGTATCTCTCTCTTTGCCTGGGGATTTCCTAGCAGTAAGAATGTGGTTGGCTTCTTTCTGCTTTTCTGGTCTCTCAGTTTTCACCTCAATATCTGGCTCCAGGTTTTTTGTATTAGTAAGACCATTTTGCAATTTGTCTTATAAATCCACCTTTTTTTTTCTGTTTAACAGTGTGTGAAAACTTAGGTAAAATAATTATACAAATGAAGGAGATCAAAGAGATACAAACAGAAATGAAGAAGTAACATATCATTACTTGAACACAATATGAATTTATACATAGAAGACCCTAAATGCCCCACCATTAAATTTCTATAACTGTTAAGTGCATTTAGCAAACTAAAGGGATAAAAATATCAAAAGCTATTCTATATACAAAGAACAAATATACCAAGAAAGAAATAGGAAACAGTATAATTTAGAAATAACCTCAAATAAAAAAATGACATTTATTGGGATAAAACAAAGTGAAAGACATGTCTTTCATAAAATAAAAAATTTTAATATTGATTAAGAAAAGATGAAGAAGATAAGAAAAGCTGGAAAGACTCCCTATTCTAAAGTGTTCATAGGATTAATATTTTGAAAATAATCATTTCACCAAAAGCAAACTTAAAATTCAATGCAATTTCTTAAAAATTCCCATTCACTTTTTACATAATTTAAAATATTAATCAAAATTTATATGGAAACACCAAAGACCCAGGAAAGCTCAAATTATCCTGAATATTTAAATAACTATTTTAGGTATCCCCATTCCAGATTTTAAGTCATAATACAGATTTATAATGAAGATTGAATGGTACTTCTGTAAAAACAGACATGTTGATCAATGCAACATAATTAAAGACAGAAATGTAATTTTGCATGATTTGAGATACTGTGGCCAAAAATGCACACTAGAGAAAAGACAGCATCCTCAAGTTTTGATGCTTGTTGGAATGTAAGTGCATCCATATCCCTTACCCCAAACACACACACACACACACACACACACACGCACACGCACACGCACACGCACACGCACGCGCACGCGCACACGCACACACACACTCACACGCACACGCACACGCGCACACACACACACAGAGAATTCTTATGAGTGGAAATAGCAGACTCTTAATTGATTATGGTTATACCCAAAAATTAGTACATCTCTCAGTCCTCATCACAGAAGCTTCTTGCAATAGATAACAACTAACCCTGAAGCCCACAACTGGTCACTATACAGAAATTATAAGACATCAGAATGCTCACTCTTTTTTTTGTTTGTTTGTTTTTGTGACAGGGTTCATTTGGGTTGTTTTGCTGCCTGTCCTGGGTCTCTCTCTGTAGACCAAGCTGACCTCGAACTCACAGAGATCTGCCTGGCTCTGCTTCCCAAGTGCTGGGATTAAAGGTGTGCATCACCACCACCCAGCATCAGAATACTCACTCTTAAATGTAATTTCTATATCAAATTCTCTTCAAGATTTCTGTATATATGCAGAAGAGGAGGGAGAAAGACTGTAAGAGCCATAGGTGGAAGATAATTTCAAAAAAGTTATAATATTCAAACTCAACATTGCAAAGTCACATATGACTTCCTGAACTTGTCACAACATGCACAAAACATGCACAAGTTCAAGCCAGAAAATTTCTCAGCATATAAATGACATCTATGTAAAATGAGATACAAATGGGAAAAAATGTGTGTAAAGATGCTGATCATCACTAATGATAGGGAAGTTAAAACCAATACTATAATATCACTGTATAATCATTTAAAAAAACAGCAAAAACATTGAAGATGACTCAAAGACTTAGGAAATGTTGATGATGATGGTGAGCATGTGAAATAGCAGTGTCCCCATGGAAGCTTCAGTAGTTAGTATTCAAAATGTAACACACAGAACACATAACCAGAAATCCCACTTCTGTATGCACATCCCCAATAATAGAAAGCATGCTCTCAAAGTGATGCTTTCATAAGAACACTCTTGTTGACAATAGCAAACTAATGCAACCAAAGAAATGTCCATTAGTTGATGAAAGGTCAAATATGATGGAATTTTTATTCATTTTTAGATACAAAGGATATCTTATCCTAAGGCAAAAACTTAAGTTTCATCATATATTAACAACAACAACAACAACAACACACACACACACACACACACACACACACACACACACACACGAGGGAGAGAGAGGGAGAAAAAGAAAGAAATATCAAGAGAAACAAAATTGTTTTTAAATAATGGAAAAATGATCTGAAAAGATGTTTATTCTAAAGAAATAAAGTGGTTAAAAAGCACATGGAGCATGGTGAGATGATGGGTAGAGTGAGATGATAGCAGAGAGGGTGAAAACTAGTTAAATGGAAGATTTCATAACCACTAGAAAGAAAAAGTTTGAATATCTTGGACATAAAAGAAAACAAATTTTTGAGAAGCTAATAACATATGATTTGGTGACTGTATGCAATGTACATGTAGCAAGATAACATACTGTAGTATAAGAAAAAAAAATGCCAACTACTGGTTGAAAATAAATTGGAGACAGAGAACAAATGCAATGTTGCAATTATTCTTTGTACTTTACAGATGCTTACATGAACAGTCTTCATTCAGTGGGAGTTTGAGGAAAGCAGGTGCTCTTTTTAAAAAGGACACTGTCAGGGTCACTTCCTCCCCAGCATTCCGAAGAACCTGAACCTGGAAACAGAAAAAGATTAAAATAATGTACCCATTATTAGTTGTACATTTTCTTTGGTTATCAGCTCTAGGCATTATTGATTGTCTTCCCACCTCTTGATTTTCTCTTGACATCAGAACACTTTGTGAGAGATAAAAGGATAACTTCTTCAAGAGTGTTGTCTTATATCCACTGCTTCTTATGCTCATGCCTTTTGCTGCTGTCTTAAACACTGCAATTTGAACCTCCCAGTAACATCCATGGAATACCTCCTGAGGTGTTTATCTTAGGCAGTGTTAGAGATGAGATTGCAAAGTCTACAGAATGATATATGTTAAGTAATCTTGTAGCCACTGTATCTGTTATTTTAATTACTGCTTAATGGGGAAATGGGGATGTCTTTTGTACTGTAAAATTCAATAATCTTTGACGATAAAAGGAAACTAATCTTGCAGGTATGGACCAAAGAATAATTTTAAAGCTTCATGAATTTATCAAAAACCTTCTTCAAAACTTTATTAAATCTTTTCTTTTCTCTGAAAATCTGAGAAAATAAAGGAGTTTGGTATCATCAGTAATTCTCAATATTTGAAATTATAGAATAAGTAGGTCGTTTTATCTGCAAAAATGGTCCCGATTTCCTAAAACTCAAAGCAAAATAGAAAACAGTCAATAGAAAAATCAGTGTAAGAAAGGAATGAAAGAAAGGTTGAGTAAGAAATTTGTAAGTCTCAATGTAGTTGTCACAAATCACACAAATGTGGGTACGATTATAAACTTTGAGGTAAACCACAGGAAGAATTAAGAATCTTTAATGACTAAGGATGATGAGCACTTCCTTAAATCTCTTTTAGACATTTAAGATTCTTCTGTTGAAAATTCTCTGTTTAGATTGGTAGCCCTTTAAAAATTGGATTGTTAGTATTTTGATGTCTAATTTCTTGAGTTCTTTATATATTTTGGAGATCAGCTCTCTGTCGGATATGGGGTTGGTAAAGATCTTTTTCCATGCTGTAGGCTGTCATTTTGTGTTATTTACACTGTCCTTTGATACAAAATCTCAGTTTCAGAATTATACAGACACTTCGGAAATCAGTATGGTAGCTTCTCAGAAAAGTGGGCATCAGCCTGCCTCAAACCCAAGAAATGTTTAATCATACCACAAGGACACTTGCTCAACTACTCATAGCAGCATTACTTGGAACCTGGAAACAATCTAGATGCCCTTAAACCAAAGAAAGGATAAAGAAATATACACATTAGAGTGCTACTCAACAGTAAAAAACATTGACATCATGAAATTTGCAGGAAAATGGACGGAACTAGAAAATATTCTGAGTAAGGGAACCCAGAACTCAGGAAGACAAACAGGATATGTACCCACTCTAATAAGTGGGTATTAGATGTAAAGTAAAGGATAACCAGAGTACAACCCACAGCTCCAGAGAAGCTAGCTAACAAGAAGGACCCTAAGAAGAATACATGGATCACCTTGGGAAGGGGAAATAGATGAGAATTCCTGAATAAACTAGGGGAGATGGGGAGCAACAGAGGGTAAGGGATGGTGATTAGAATGTAAGGGAATGAGATGGTTGAGCTGGAACAGGGATGGAGTGGGAGAACAATGAAAGAGAAAACTTGATGGAGGGAGACATTATTGGAATAGGGAGAAATCTAGTGCTAGGGAAGTTTCCAGGAATCCACAAGGATGACCCCAGCTTAGACTACTGCAATAGTGGAAAGGGTGCCTGAATTGGCTTACCCTGGTAACAAAATTGATGAATACCCTGTCATCATAGACTAACTAATATTATCAAAACAGATATAGAGATCCACAGCCAAGCACCATGCAGAACTCCAGAAGTCTAGTTGAACTGAAGGAAGAGGGATTCTATGAGCAAGGGGCCTCAAGATCATGATAGGGGAAACCTATAGAGACAATGAAATCAAGCTAGTGGGAACTCATGAAATTTAGACCAATAGATTTAGAGCCTGCATAGGACTGGACTAGACCCTCTGTTAAGTGAGATATGTGTGTAGCTTGGTCTGATTAAGGGGCCTCTGGCTGTAGGATCAGGATCCATCCCTGGTGCATGATCTGGCTTTTGGGAGCCCATTACTTATGGTGGGACACATTGCACAGCCTTGGTACATGGGAAGGGTCTTTGACCTGCCTCAACTGAATGTACCAGGCATTGCTGACTCCCCATGGGAGGCATTACCTTTTTGGAAGAGGGAATGGGGGGGCTAGTTTGGAGGGAGGAGGCTGGGGAAAGCAAGAGGAGGGAAGAGAATGGGATCTGTGGTTTGTATGTAAAATACATAAAAAGTTCATAATAAAGACAAAAAGAATTTTTAATGAAGAAATAGTTAAAGAAACACAAAAACATGCATTACTCATGGGTATGCAGACAATCTCCTTCCTGTTGGGAATTTCCAGTTGTTCTGTAAGTCCTCTTTCCCAAACAGAGAGACTGTGCAACCAGAACAGAGGTTAGGGGTTCTCATCCTGACACTGTAGAAATCCTACCCTGAAGCAAAAGCCTAGGATGGTAAGCAAGGTCCACTATTCCTGTCAACTTGCTTCCCCCCAACCCTCCCCCCCCAAAAAAAAAGGCCTGACTGGCTATAAATCTCCAATTAGAACATCCCTTTAATAGTTACTGACAAAAGAAGGATAATTTAGAAAGCTCTTTCATCTCTTCAGGCTAAGCAGAGAACAGTGGGATTTCCAGTGGGAAAAAAATGAATGTCGCAAATAAACCCTTCACTACATAGTCTAAAAGGATCAATAGCCAGAACTGTGATTTAAAAGTGAATTTCTATTAAAAAAAGCATAGGAAACTAACATAGAATCTTTATTAACAATGATCTAACATAATTTTTAAAAAGTTGGTGAAGATGAAATAAAAATAATTTTAAGTAAAAAAAATTAATGACAGCTTGGAAGAGAACATAACAACCAGCTCATGGCAAGGTAAAACAACTTTTAGAAATTTTGACAAAGACCATAAAATGAACTTTAAAATATCTGGTAAGAATTTACAGTTGCATTTATTTAGTTGAAATGTCATAAGCACTCAGAAAAGAAATATCAAATTCTAAAATCATTAAAACAGAATTCATAGAACAGAAAAATATGACATATGTATAATATTTTCTAGAGTAGAGGAGAACAGTGAATCACCAGGAGAAAGAGCTTCAGAGGCATATGTGAACATTCTTACATATCTTTACGTAAACAAAATGCCAAAATATGTAAAGATACTACATCTTGGTTAGATGGAGTTTAATCTAAGAATACAACGTTATTTAACATTATAAAATAAATCTGTACAATGAATCATATTTAAAAAATTAAGTTCACCCCAAATATAAAACTGTTGACAAAATTGAATACTCATCTATAATAGACACTGAATAACAGCAGAAGCAAAGTTCCTGGAATACATGCATGTAACGTTTGAAAAGCTGTGAAGAGCATCATCCTATCTGAAAAAAGACAGAACCAGAATTCTCCATGCTTATAAAATAATGTATATCATTGATAATTATTCTAGTCAAAATTTTAATTGGAGGTGCTAAATCAGAGCAATACAATGACCTAAAAATAGGAATGCAAATTTAAAAGGGAGAAATGGAATTATCTTCAGTTACAGATTGCATGATGATTTTTTTAAACAGTAGGAAGTGTGTTAGAATTAAAAATAATAGTCACAGGTCATCAGCTTAATGATATGGGATCAGTGCACATTCAACGCATTTCTGTGAGGTGACCACAAAAATAATACTGATTTTATAAATAAAACCATATATAAAAGCAATAGCAATATGAAGCATTCATGCACTAATCTGACAGAAGTTATGAAAGTACTATGCACTTAAATATACAGAATATTACTACTAGTATTTTCAATATATTTAAGTATGTGTTACTCAATATTGTTAAGATTTGATTTATATCACTATCTGACCTATAGATTGAAATATATTGTAATGGAGACCCAAAAACCTTTTCTAAAGAAATTGTCAAATTGATTTTGATAATTCTTCACATAAAAATTCAAAAATTATAGGATATACACTATAGGAGCAGGAGGGTATGGCTAATTAGTGAACATTAATTTCTTAAAGAGTTACTAGGAAGACTGAAATAATGATATTGTTTTATGTATATGGAATATATTCAGACATAGACATAAAGACATATTGTAAGTCATAAAAATAAAGAACTTGAAAGTATCTCAAATCAAAATTCGGTGATGAAACAAGTAGTTCAGCAAAATGTGACCAAAATAATCAATCAGATATATTTCTAAGAACATATATCAACACTAATTCATAAAATATGTACAATGTGACTACTATTAGGAAAAGGCAAATACTACTATAACTTTTTTTTTACAGTTTCTAAAGATAAGCAATGCCAGGTGTTGCTAAGGCTGTTTAGGAAGGAAAAGGAAGGAGAATTCTCATATCTGACTGACAGAAATGGATATCAGCATGTAATCACACTGTCAAGCATTTGACATATATGATTAGTTTTCATTAATCACACAAAATAATGTGTCCCATTACATATTAATAAGTATATATGACTTGAGACTACTCATTTGTAATCACCCTCAGACCAACCTCCTCCATCACCTCTTTTACTTCTCACTGCCTTGTCTTCCCCAAAATAGCTTCTTCTGCTCTCATGTATTACATGAGTATGTGTTATTAAATGTATGTTTCAGAGAATATTAAAGAAGATATAATAAGACACCTTTTAAACTTTCATGTGATCTCCCTATAAATACACGTATTCCATACATGAAAGATAACACCTTTTTTAAATTTAATTTAATTTTATTTTACAATACCATTCAGTTCTACATAACAGCCACAGATTCCCTTGTTCTCCCCCTTCCTGCCCCCTCCCCTTCCCCCCCAGCCAACCCCCCTTTCCCATCTCCTCCAGGGCAAAGCCTCCCCTGAGGACTGAGATCGACCTGGTAGAATCAGTCCAGGCAGGTCC